CTCAGAGGTAGAGTCCATCAATTTTCGACCAGTTTCCTTCATTCCTCACTATCCAGAAGTTTGCTTCGCGGCACTGGAATCTCAATTGGAGATCCACCGCATAACAAACCGATGGCATAAGCATGCCTACGCTCTGAAAACGCTGACGAGGGACCACACAGCTGCTGTTCGTTAAATTGCCCTCAATGCGAGTGTAACTAACGCTTACGATCGTCTAAAGGAGGCGATTCTTATACATTTCCTTCCTTCCGAGGGAAGAACAACTGAGGTCTTCCTTAGCACGTCACTCTTTTGATGATGCTAAACCGAATAATCACCTCACGCTCCTGAAATCTCCTGAAGGACACACGAAAGTTGATTCCGAAATCGTTAAGGAATTATGACTCCAATTTCTACCAGCACACATACAACATATGGCTGTGCTTGAGCATACACCACTTAACCAGGTGGCCCTTATAGCAGATAAGATATTGGCAAAGACTGGCTTACTTACTTACTTTCGCCTGTTACTCCCAATGGAGCACAGGCCACCGACCAGCTTTCTCCAACCCACTCTGTCCTGGGCCTTCTTTTCTAGTTCTTTCCAGTTCTTGTTCATTCTTCTCATGTCTGTCTCTATTTCTCGGCGTAATGTGTTCTTTGGTCTTCCTCTTCTCCTTCGACCTTCAGGATTCCATGTGAGGGCTTGTCTTGTGACACAATTAGGTGATTTCCTCAAAGTGTGCCCAATCCACTTCCAGCGCTTCTTCCTGATTTCTTCCTCCGCTGGAATCTGGTTTGTTGTCTCCCACAGTAACTTGTTGCTGATAGTGTCTGGCCATCGGATCCGAAGTATCTTGCGTAGACAACTGTTAATAAACACTTGTATCTTCTGGATAATGGCTTTCGTAGTTCTCCACGTCTCTGCCCCATACAGAAGAACTGTCTTGACATTTGTATTGAAAATTCTAACCTTGGTGTTGGTTGACAATTGTTTTGAGCTCCAGATGCTTTTCAGTTGTAGGTATGCTGCTCTTGCTTTGCCGATCCGCGCCCTCACATCTGCATCTGATCCACCGTGTTCATCAGTGATACTGCCCAGATATGTAAAGATTTCCACATCCTCCAAAGCTTCTCCGTCAAGTGTAATTGGATTGGTGCATATTGTATTGTATCGGAGAGTCTTGCTTTTCCCTTTGTTTATATTGAGACCTACTGCTGCTGAGGCTGCTGCTACACTGGTCGTTTTCTGCTGCATTTGTTGTTGCGTTTGTGATAGAAGAGCCAGATCATCCGCGAAGTCTAAATCGTCAAGCTGCATCCTGCCTGTCCACTGTATCTCGTGCATTCTTCCAGATGTTGACGTCTTCATAATCCAGTCGATCACCAGGAGAAAGAGAAAGGGTGAGAGTAGGCAACCTTGCCTAACACCGGTCTTTACCTCGAACGAGTCGGTGAGTTGTCCTCCGTGGACGATTTGGCAGTTTAATCCATCATAGGAGTTCCGTATGATGTTGACTATCTTCTCAGGCACGCCGTAGTGTCGAAGAAGCCTCCATAGTGTCGACCTGTCCACGCTATCAAATGCCTTCTCGTAGTCGTAACGTATTTATTTATATACTAGAACCCTTTTTTCCCCGAGCCAGGTCACGCTTCTTTAAAGCCGTAACAAGTCACCCCAAGTGGAAATCTTACGAGCCACGCTAAAAGGCGGCTTCGAAGCGAATTCTGTTCGGTGCTGCTTCCACCACGCCTTCGGGTCCGATGCCTTCTTCGACTACTCTCTATCTATGGTGCACGAGAGATTGCGGTCAACCTGAGCAACCGACGACAGAATGTATGGACTTTCATCATTGCAGCTGTTTCCACAGCCATATTCGCTTTCGATTTCCTACGGCACTATGAATTGCAAGTAGATTCCCGTAGGCTGCAGCTAGTTGGTACTTCGTCGAACAGCAAATTCATGGGCTTTAAAGCTACATTTTTATTAGGCCGCATAGCAAGTCATGCTTTTCAGGGGGACACGTTGTGTAGCACGTATAGCACTGAGTATGCATCCAAAGTATCTACGAGTTTCTCTAATGAGATCTGGACGTCTCACCGGTAAAGTTTGCACCAACAAGCAGTCTAAAATATTAACAGGTCTATCTTGTAATGGTTGTCGAGAAATGTAGTCAACGTGTTGAATTTGTTTTGCACTTCTGTGCTGAATCGTATAGTCATAAGCACTCAAAGCAGTACTCCATCGTTGAACCATAGAAGCTGAGGAACGTGCTAAGGATTTGTCAAAATGATAAATGAACTTTAAAGCTTCATGATCAGTAACAATGGTAAACTTCTTTCCAAATAAATATTTATGAAGTCTTTTAACAGCCCAAAACACAGCTAACGCTTCTCTCTGCGTTTGTGAATAACCTTGTTCAGAAACAGAAAGTTTGCGTGAAACACATATAACTGGCGCACCTTCCTGTTCCAAAACTGCACCAATACCCACAGGTGATGCATCAGTAATAAAAACAGAATGTACGCTGGGTGAGTAAGTTCGAAGAACAGCATCACTTTGAAGAAACTTTAGCAGACTTCGTAGGCATGACTCTTGTTCTTCACCCCATTTGAATGAATTGGATGTTAAAATATTAAATAAACAGTTGGCACGACAAGAAAAATTAGGAATTAAACGAGAATAGTACTGATGAGCACCCACTAGTGAACGTAATTCTGTGATATTTTTTTGGGACGGTGCATTTGTCAGTGGGGCTAGTCGTTTCATATCTGGTCTAAAACCATTACCATCAACTAGGTATCCAAGGCATTCAAAACTAGATACACTGAATGAACATTTATTTGGATTCACTGTAATATTTTTCTCAATTTAACGACGCAATAGAGCAATAAGTCTGGTCATGAACTACTTTATCAGCACCACGAACAATGAGATCATCTTGATAAACTTCAACACCTTCAATATCGCTGACTATCTTATTCATGACCTCTTGGAATATGGCTGGAGAACAACTAATACCAAATGGAAGGATGTTGTATTTGAACAGACCAAAAGGAGTGTTAATTGTTGTCAAGATAGATGAAGATTGATCCAAAGGGATTTGAAGCATCTTTCAAGTCAACTTTGGAGAACACTTTAGAACCATGAAGTCGATTTAGAATATCTTCAGCCTCCATCGTCGTTCATGTTGGCTTCAACAAACGGGAGTTCAGTGTTAATCTGTAATCACTGCATATTCTAGGGGTCTTGCCATCCGACTTCAATGGCATAACAATAGGACAAAAGGACAGTGGTATTGTTTCACGTTGAGTTTAATTCACTGTTTTGATCGTAGATTACGTATCAAAACTACCGTTTACACTTTAATTGAATTTATTTCAGTTAACGTGACATTGTAGTTGTGTGTTTTGATCCTGCTTTTGTGTATTTACTGCATCAAAGCATTCTCGGTCGACTGAGGCTTGTTTATTTGATAAGGTTGTGATTTATCTTACATATCTACCTTGCCTATCATTTTGTTTTATTCTAAGATGGTCGGCTCTGTACACAAGTGTGGACAGCCATATTGCTTATTCCCGGTGGAAGAAGGGATGCAATGTGACGATTGTAAGAAGTGGTTTCACAAAATGTGCACCCGCTTAAGCCCTGCTGCCTATAAAAGGTGCTCGAAACCAAATTCACATTGGCTCTGTATGTTTTGTTGCTCAAGTAAGACATTACTCATTCAGGAAGCCATCAGCCTTCTAGCGTTAGCTAAACAGGTCGAAGTAGGCCGTGCCGGCAACATGGATACTGATAATGAAGATTGTATCAGTGTCGTAAAGCTGCCATGGCAGGTACCAGACACCCAATTTCGCAACATGAAGCAAACATTTGTACTCCGATACAACCAATAAAAGCCATGCCATTAAGTACTGAGGGACCAGTCGCTTTAGCAGCGACTGAGGACCCGGCTAGAACCACTATCGTCCAGAATAGTTCCAATCTGGATGCTGAGAATAGTGGCAAATGGATTACGCGGAAACGCAAAAGAGACGGAAAAATACCCAAAGAAAGCGCGCGTATAGTCGGTATGTCATCGTTGGACTCACGTCCTGAGCATCAGGCAACTCCGCTCAAGTCCAAATGTAAGGAAATATTTAATACTGTTGTGGATGGAAATAGTCTAACTTCACCAAATGTTGTTGGGAGTAACTCGCTTGACCCACATGACACTGTGATAAAGAAAGCTAATAGCAAGAAGCCGGTAGCTAACCGGCAGGATCTGACATCACGGTCAAAGGCCGCGAACACGACTTTTAAGGCAGTTAAACAGGTGCCTAGTGTAATCATCTGGAACTTGGCAGAATCGAAAGACACCGATCCCGCTAAGAGACATGCCCACGACCTGCAGTTAGTCGGATCTCTCATCAGAAATAAACTGCCAGAGGAGGTCCCAGGGGTACATATCTCGAAAGTCATCAGACTTGGTAAGTATGTTGGAGGCGAAACCCAAAAGAGAAGGATCCTCAAATTAGTACTCGGTAATTTTGAGGAAAGGGACGTATTACTAAATAACTCACGCAAAACTCGTGACTCAAACATTCGTATTCGACCTGACTGGCCACTTGAGGATCGGATCAAGTGGAAGAATGCCCTAACAGAGTTAAAAACTCGAAGGCTAAACGGTGAAGCGAACCTTACGATTAAGGGTTTTCGGGTAGTCAGGTCTTGGAAGCCAATGCTTCCGAGACCTGTGTGGGTAGAACGTATGTCTCCAAAAACACCCTAAATGTGTGTTATACGAATGCTCGTAGTCTTCGGAATATGATGTCTGAACTAAGTTTGATGGTAGACGACTTAAATCCGGATATAATTGTTATCACCGAAACTTGGCTCACTGTAGATATAGACTGTTCTCCAGTCATTTCAGGCTACATCTGTGTCAGAAGTGATAGAGTTAGAAGTCGCAAGGGAGGAGGCATAATATTATATATTAGGGACCACTTCCGCATTAACTCGATCATATCGTAGGCGCATGTTAGTGGTACGTGTGAGGTAGTATGTTGTACAATTAGGTATAGAAACGGGTTAGTGACGATAGGAGGAATATATCGTAGTCCGTGTTGCCTCGCCGACGACTTTATCCTAAAACACGTCTGTTCTTGGAGTAAAGAAGAATGTTGTCTCATCGTTGGAGACTTCAATGCACCCCATATAAACTGGATAGAGTTCACAGCTCCAGGTGGGGGGTTCGACAGCGTCCTTCTGTCATCAATTATCCAATGTGCACTTGTACAATGCATCGTTAAGCCGACGCATATAGACTTGGAACATAATCCGTCATTGATAGACCTTGTCCTCACACACCACTGTGAAGATATCGTTGACATTCAACATCTTCCCCCACTGGTGAATAGTGACCATGTCGTACTTTCCTTTAAGTTCCGGATACATGGTATAGAATTTGCATCAGCTTCACACCGTCCTAATATCTGGAGAGCTAATATTCCGGCAATCAGGGACTATGCTATCTCAATTGACTGGTCGGTCGATGCTGATGGATCGATTGATGATGCATGGAATAGGTTTAAGTCTACGTTCGAATCCGTAACTCAACCGTTTATCCCATGGTCAGCACGTAAGTTATCATATTGCCCTCCATGGATTAATAAGGAAACCCGGAAGCTGTTGAAGCGTAGGAAACACTTCTGGAACTTATTCTTGTCAACAGGTCAGGCATCATTTAAGTGCGAATATAAAAAAAATCCGGAATATATGTAAAAAGACCATAGCTAAATCCCGCACGGCTTACGAACGACAGTTGGCATACGATAGTTGCACCTGTCCGAAGCGACTGTTTTCGTATGTTAAAAGGCGGACGAAACGTAGTGATGGTATCCCCTCATTACTGTTAAGCGAAAATTCAGCTTTATTGGCTGAATCTGACCTAGCGAAAGCGGAGACATTTGCAAACTATTTCAGTGAAGTCTACTCTACGTGTAGTGTTACAACTACTTGTCCCGTTGACAATGAGATACCAGCCATAGGACCTTTGCACGTGACAGAGGATATTGTTCTTCCTTTGATAACTAACCTAAAACCTTGTAAGATACCGGGCCCCGATGGGTTACACCCACGTTTGCTGTCGTCGCTTGCGGACATTATCTCAAGACCGCTCACGATGCTCTTCAACATGTCCCTTTCACAGGCTCAACTACCTAGAGACTGGAAAGACTCCATAGTTGGTCCTATATTTAAGGATGGTCAGAGAGGGGTTGTATCTAACTACCGGCCTGTTAGCCTGACCAGTATAGTAGTTAAATTACTTGAAAAATTAATTCGGGCTAAGCTACTGAGCCACATAGATTCGTACAATCTGTTAACTCCCGAGCAACATGGGTTTCGTAACAAGCATTCATGCTTGACTAACTTACTCATTGCGAGAGAGGATTGGACAGCTGCCCTAGACAACGGCCAGTCTGTCGACGTGATATTCACAGATTTTAGCAAAGCGTTTGATAAGGTTTCACACTTAGGTCTTATGCAAAAGCTCTCGAGCTTTGGTATAACAGGTGCTATACAGGAATGGATAGGAAGCTTCTTATGTGACCGCAGACAGAGAGTGAGGGTCAATGGAACTCTATCCGAATGGAAACCGGTCAAAAGTGGTGTACCCCAAGGCACCATCTTAGGCCCTTTACTTTTCCTTCTGTATATTAATGAACTACCTTTATTACTTAAGTTGTCGACGTTATTGTTTGCGGATGATGTTAAAATCTGGAGAACAATAAGAAATGAGACTGATCGTTGTTATCTGCAAGCAGATTTAGACGAATTAGTTAGGTGGGTTCATGATTGGGGCCTGGAAGTTAATTCCAGGAAGAGCGTGTTCATGCACATCGGGCACGATATTAGTTACCATTATACCATTAATGGTACATCTCTGCCACGCGTTCATGAGCACAAAGACTTAGGAGTAATTATAATTCACGACTTAAAAACTACTACGCACTGCAATGCGGTTGCTTCCAAAGGCTATCGAGCGCTATGGTCGCTTCGCAGAGCATTTAAATGCTTTGACGAGGATATGTTTCGAATTTTATATCCCACCTATGTAAGGCCACACTTAGAATACTAAATCCAAGCAGCTAGCCCTTGTCTGATAAAGGATACTAAATTGCTTGAGCGTGTCCAGCGTGTAGGGACAAAATTAGTAGAGGGTCTTTCCAAACTCCCTTACGATGAGCGTTTAAAACGTCTAAATCTTTACCCCTTATCTTATCGTAGGACGCGAGGTGACCTTATACTGGAATTTCGTATCTTTAATTATGATCTGGGTGTTAATATGTCTTACCTTTTTGCTCCCTCCAGCACTAATAATCTTCGGGGTCATAGCAAGAAGGTTCTGAAACCGCGATCTAATAAACTAAAGGTGGGGTCCCGTTTTTCTCATCAAGTGGTCAATGACTGGAACGCTTTACCAGAACAAGTGGTATCAGCACCATCAGTGAACATTTTCAAAAAAAGCTGGACCTTCACTGGAAGGAAATCTGTCAGGATTAACACAGGTTCATCAACCTACTATCCTTATTACTGAAGACTGAAGACTGATTTCTGAATTGGATAAAGCCACTCAAGGTCGCAGAGGTGGATTTGAATTTCCATCCATAGCCTTCTCGTTTCGCGTTTAGCTTCAACTTTCGATGTAAATGTCAGGTTGAATGCATTAGGTCTTGTCTGTTACTGTTAATTATGTTCATTGGCTTGTTCTCCGGTTTCAATCTTCAGGTCACCATGTTTATATGTACCCAAAGTACTCACTGGACTGTTTTAGACACTAAAGGATGTTTGTCATGTTTTGTGTTGTCAACTCTAACTGATTATTTCTGACGATGTATATAATATGTCAGGTCTTTTTTAGATCATTGTCTTGGATCGCCAATAATAATGTTTATAGGATTTCACCAACTTTTCAGCCATTTGCAAAGAAACCCGTAAAAATAACACGAAGCAACTTCCTAATACGCTTGTAAATTTAATGAGCTCTGTGACATTCTGACATCCCAAGTGAACGTGTACATCAAAATGAAACAACTGCGGGTTTCATAGAGCCCATACGTAAACTCGAAAATCTCTAACTCATTAGTTACTTTGCAACAGATTCTGTCTTCATTGCTTAAAAATCGTCTTGGAGAAGTCGAGGTAGTCTTTAGCGTCTTTCAGTTTCACCAGCTTGATATTGTTTCTGTAGGTGGTTAAGCAGTTCGATACGTAAATGGTTTTATACTTAATTGTGTTGCTTTGACATCCAGACTACATAACATTTGAGCAGTCAAATATGTGTACACCAACCTAAGAATTACAGTGATTCGATAAAATTTCGGCTTATCTTATGGAATCATTAACTAAAGTAAATCTCGATATAATGTATTAACATTGTACATTATTTTGTCTTGAAAAAATTAATGAATGATATGGCTCAAAATCGTTTGTCATGGCGAAGGTGCATCCACTCTTTGTGTTCTCCCAAATTCTAATCTTCTGAATTCGTAATGTCATTATCTTTTTTCTCTTTCCCAATTTATTTCCCTGGATTGTACTCCTTCAATAGCATCTTCAAACCCTAATCTTCCACATGATGCTTATACTCTTACTACCTCTACTACTATGGGATTTGAATCGACAATAGTGTCTCTGTGGTATGGCAAATTGAACTGATGTACGTACGTACGAAGTTCTACGTTGTGACTGACTGACTTATTTTATCTTAAATGTCTAGATGAATGCAGAAACCTCTCAACCAGTTGTCGAAATCAAAAGCCTAGTAACTGGTCTTTGTATTCTATGGACAACAAACCAAATCCCATTCTACTCTGCTGGCTGACTGATGTTCAAACACACCCTTGTCACATTAGAATATGTCTGGACACTCATTGCTGTTTTTGTTTACAAAGTACCTAGCAGTATCATTCTTTATCAGGCAAGAAAGATAATTTATTCAAGCAACATATGCATCCCGTGTGTTTGAAAGCTAAGCTTTACATTCAAGCGTTAACTTCAAAGTCTAATTAGTGAACCTCAAAAAAATTATTTCAGAAAGTGATTAGTATTTGGCGAACCTGACACTATCATTAATCTCCATCGTCAAGTGTATACATTTATGGTCCCGACCTTTGCTGCTACCGTGACCTGGTGGTTGGGCTTGCCTATCGTGATGAAGCAATCGAGCTATGCTGGCTGGAACAGTTGTTCCTCGAGGTCCTACCATACCAGACAGGTCGGTTGAAGAGTGGTAAGACTAAAAGCAGCAATCCCAAGGTCCGAAGGCGAAGTCGTACTGCCGACTGTACAGAGGTGTGAAAGCAGTAAGGTGTTTCCTTCAGACAACCAGCATTACAGCGATGCTGCCTTCCCACAAGGAGGAGTGGGGTTAGAAAAGGTCGACCTTAAAAATGCACACCTCGCCTTATCCCACGGATATCCGTCTCCGGCGGTAAGGTCCTTTGAAGAACGGAGCTAATACGTCAAAAATCCCCCACAAAATGGCCGTGCGTGACCGGCCTTGGACGCCTAACCAAAGCTCGTGAAGAGCAGACTAGAGAAAACCAGGCTGGTTTTCGACCTGGACGTGGTTGCATAGACCACATATTCACTCTACGTCAGATCCTAGAACATAGACATACATTCAGACGTCCCACAATCGTAGTATTTCTTGACCTTAAGGCGGCATTTGACTCCGTTGATCATGAGGTTCTATGGCAGTGTTTGTCAGTGAAAGGAGTACCAAAGAAGTACATTAACCTCATAAAGGCTCTCTACTCGAACACAACTGGTCGAACTGTCATCAGAATTGGTTACCTCAAGTGGTGTTCGTCAGGGCTGTCCTCTCTCCCCATTCTTGTTTAACTTTATTGTTGACATGCTTTTAGAGATATCACTCATCATCTCAATCTCCTGGAGTTGAACTTTTACCGGGAGATTCACTTGTTGACTTAGAATACGCTGACGACATAGTTTTATTCGGTGAAGACGCTGACAAAATGCAGAGTCTTCTGACCACTATAAGCAACACTGCAAGCATGTTCGGGGTGCGATTCTCCCCCTCGAAATGCAAAATGTTACTTCAGGATTGGGTTGCATCGCCACCTGAACTAATGATATGGAGTGAAGTAGTTGAGCGTGTTGACAGCTTCACTTATCTTGGGAGTCTCATCAGCCCTTGTGGTCTGGTGTGTGACGAAATCTCAGCACAGAAACAGAAGGCTCGTCTAGCTTTCTCCAACTTGCGCCATTTATGGCGTAGACGAGATATCCGTCTAGCAACCAAAGGACGGGTTCACTAACCAGAAGTTCGTTCGGTCCTACTTTATGGATGTGAAACATGTCCGATAAGAGTAGAGGATATTCGTAGGTTACTAGTGTTCGATCATAGGTGTCTTTGAAGCATCGCCCGTGTATCCTGGGACTACCGAGTAAGTAATGCAGTTGCTAGAAAACGAGTATTAGTTAAGGATAGAAAATCAATTGATGAAGTAATCAAACTTCATCAGTTGAGATGGCTGGGACATGTGTTACGTATGCCCGACCACCGACTGCCCCGACGTGCAATGCTTTATGGTGTAGGAGCAGGTTGGAAGAAAGCTAGGGGCGGCCAGACCAAAACATGGCATAAATCCATGAAGTCGCTGACAAGTGGACTGGGTCGTGTTGGTAGGTGTAGACTACCTGGTTGGGATTCGCGAGATTATAGCAACCGATGGTTAGAGACCTTGAATGACATGACTCAAAATCGTTTGCAATGGCGAAGGTGCATCCACTCTTTGTGTTCTACCAAATTATAATCTTCTGAATTCCTCATGTCTTTATCTTTTTCTCTTTCCAAATTTATTTCACTGTACTATACTCCTTCAATAATTTCTTCAAATCCTAATCTTTTGGATTACTGATTATACTCCTACTACTTCTACCACTATGGGATTTGAATCGACAACTTTATCTCTGTGCTAATGTGGTATGGCAACTCGAACTGATGTACGTACGTACGAAGTTCTACGTTGTAAGTGACTGACTCTGTGTTTTTGTACTTATTTCTGTTCATTAGCTTTTTCTCACATTCACATCACGTATTTCTACTACATTTACTAATTTAGATCTGAAACCATCTCACTAAGATGTTTCTTTAATGGAAAATTCTGGAACCTGTGTAAACGATTGCCTCGGCGTCTGTGCTCCTGAGAAAGTTCTTTTTGCCATAAGCTTTTGTATTGTACTTTTGGGTTTCGTTCTTATTGTTTCAGGGGTTTGTATTGCTCAGCTTAGTGAGGGACTGCATGCTCATTTGTCCATATCATATGCAGCTGTCCCTATTGCGTTTGCTGGCTGTGTTACACTACTGATAGCCATTGTTAGGATTGTTTCTACAAGTCGACGTTTAAAAGAAATGAATTTAGCCCTTTGTGAGTTTGAAAAACAATGGAATCAAGAAGAGTCTCTGTCCTACAATCTTCAAGGAAACGCATATAATGCATTTTCTTTTGTAAATAAATCGCCTGACAATTTTAGCCCTAACTCATTTTCGGATAAGAAAGTTGATCATCTCCCCATACCTGTAACAAACTATCATCAAAGATTGCCAATGCCTCCAAGACGAGCTATTTTGTATTAAGTCAACTCAACTTTAAATGTAACACTGATTTAAGAGTTCTCTGTATGTTAGACAACTTTTATTTTAAGTTTCATCATTATTTCTATTGACATAATCCGTTTTAGAATTTTATGTGGTTGCACTGAAACATTATTGTGCATGCACTGTTCCCAAACTTCCAGATTTGTGTTATAATTAACCCACCAGTGATAACTTGGTTGAATAAAGTAAATCTTTTCTCAAGTCGTTCTTACTTTCTAGTTTACTCTATTCTATCCTGGAAGTTTTAATAGAAAGGGTTTATATGAGTTTTCCCTACCATCGCACGTTCAAACTAAGATTTAAGATATTTGATCAGTTTTGGTTGGCATCTGCGCGTCCTGTGTGGATTCCATCGACTTGGTCATTATGGCACCAGCTTACATAGAATGAATAGAGGTGGATAGCATTGTAATCAGTGGAGTGCATTTTGTTCTATTCGGGACTCGCTATTTCAATGTACGTACCAATTCTCATCCAAACCACTAAAAGTTAATTTGAAATTCGTTTACGTTTCACAAGTTAGTGGCTATCTGGACTTAGTCGCTAAGCGGGTTATTCATTGGGTTTAAGCGAACGGTAATGGGTTAGAGTTCTGGATTGATCACCGACTCTTGGATGTGGGCACACCTAGCAAACGAATCACAAATAGGACGAAACGCGCGTTCTGGGTTCCACTGCTAGCCTCTTCCATCTATTCTATGCAAGATTTAAGAGGTCTCTTGGATCTTTTACTACTACGTGATTCCTCCTTTGCTAGCTTTAATTTGAACAAACTTTACAAGTTACAACTAAACTAAAAAATAAATGTGTTATTACTGTCGGGCAAAGTGGTGTATAGAAAATGTCATGATTCCAATGACTGTGGCAAAAAGACAAAGGGATCTGTCACAAGTCTTCAGTTACGAAGGAGCTATCTTGTGGATCGCAATAATTCTAGTTTTGGAGACTGGCGATTTTTATTCACAGTAAATTGCGTATAAAAGCCTACCTGGGTGTGATTATAGTGTGATTATTACCAAAATACCAGCTTACACGCTAAAAAGTTACTTAAACTTTTAGTATTTACTATTGCAGCTACCGAAAAAGGGAAGAATTCTTATGACCATTCCGGTATATGGTGTTCATAATTAAATATGTTTCTTGAAGTACGTTAATGAGGATTTTGGCATTTATAATTATTTTCTAGTACTGGGACTAAGGGTATCATCTTACTTCCCCGTATAGTCGCGTTTTCTGTCCTACTTTCGCACTATGAAGATGCTGAGTTCTTACCCGAAATCAATAATTTAGTCTGGTGGATGAAGTCGTCTGTCATACTAACCCCATATACTCTTTCAAACCAAATTCCACCATATTTCTATGATTTAATTCTGTTTTCTTGCCTACTCCGCTAGTTTCTTTATTCATCAAACTATCGACTCACCATGCTAATTTCTAGTTTTCTAAACCTCCAATCAGAAAGCCAAAGGAGTGGTAATAATAAGTAAAATGTTAAACCAAAGGAGATTCACATTTTATTAACTTGAATAATTGCACTATTAGGACTTCTGTGATGCAAAGCTTCATATCTAATATTCGTTCGACTTTAATTTATGAAAGATAAGAAATATAGCAACACCTAATAAACAAGATAGTAGCTTACGATTGGGAAGATTTAAAAATACCGTAAAGCAACTGCTTAGTCACTGCTCACTAAAAATATATGAAGGAATTCACCAAATAGTGGTTACCTAAATATCATTCTCTTTTATGTTTGTCCCATGTACTCTAGGTAAACCTCATAGTTACTTGATTAGTCTGGACATAACTTTACTGACTTTCCAGTGGTTGATCTACTAGGAGATCCACTTGTTGACTTATGATACCCAGATGATATGGTCTTGTTTGGTAAAGACCCTAACAAAATATAGGCTTTTCTAACCATCTCTAACCCACAAGGCAGTGTAGCAACGTAAGGAGATGCAATCACATGGTAGCCGGTGACCAACATTAGGGTCATACGTCATTTGTTTCCTTGGGGTCCTGAAGCCCATGTAGCTTTGGAATGAGGGTTCACCAACCCATTTAAAGCTCCGGACGTTCGTTTTCCGAATTTCGTAAATAACACCCTCGCCAAGAGAAGGCAGTGAGTAGGACTTCCCTGGAAGTGGTTATATACACGTAGCCATATGAAATCATTCCGAGAGGGAGAGCTGGCTCTCCCCACTCTATGCCATACCAGGGCATTTGGGGTCGTGGGAAAATCTCATTCAAAAAGCTGGGTTGACCTTTGCCGACTTGCGTCATTTGTATAGTAGACGAAATGTCCGTCTCCCGATCAAAGGACAAGTTTACTTCGTCCTACTATACGTGTGTATGGTCAGCGACGTTGAATGAAACGGTCCAAAATCGTACGCAAAGTCAAGGTGGATTCTTGGATGTCTAATCCTTCCAATTCCCACTAATGCTGTTACTACTTCTACTACTGTGGAATTCGGTCTAATAAATTCATCTCACTTAGCTAATGGGGAGTGGAAGCTTGAGCCGATGTACATACAAGGTTCTGCTTTGCGACGGACTAACTGATATTGAGTATTCAGCTCTACATTTTTTGTGAGGTGTTAATGTAGGCTTTAACAATTATTTTCATGGGAACTCACTCTACTTTTTGTGCTACCGAACCTACACAAACTTTACGTATCATTATCTCTAGTTTCTAAACCCAAATATTCTAACACTTATTCAATGTCTAGAATTACAATGGATTTTTTGTTAGATAACAAAAGTATCTGAAATATTATCTTAAAGGGCGTTATTTTCAATCCTATCCGGTCGAAAAGTGCTTGTTTGAGATATTTCATTTTATGTAAATAGTAAGCATTTATCTGCACAAATATTTTATTGATAAATCCGAAAAAGCAACAGGTTGATTAAAACCTTTCATAAGTACTGTTCTAAGGATTTGTTTTCTTCCCGATAAGTTAGTTAATGGAACCAGAGCTATCAGCTGGGTTCATTTAACAATAATAGAGATACCTTAAATATTTAACCTACTGATCCTCTTGTAATTTACTAAACAAGCTGTAATGAATACGTTTAGGTTGCAAATTTACAGTGAATAACATTACTACTGTTTACTTATTAAGTAGCTAATCTAGAGAGAACAAAATCTGTTGAGTTCCAGTTTAAAAAGTATACTAGACTGTTGAGAAAAACTTCTTAACCAAAACGACAATTGACTTGGGAACCTTATGATGGACAATTTCATTTAATATTATCAATCAATTTCTAGCTTGCCTCCTGATGGTCGGTCAAAGTTATTCCAATCCAACTGACTACGAATTTTCAAAATTTTTGAGGTCATACGGTGTTCACTCGACAAGTCAGTAAGCTCTAGACTATTGTGAATAGTATGACCAACTGTCATCAAAAGAGAGAACAAACAGACCAAGAAAAGTCATTTTAGCGTGGTACGAACTTTGCGGGTTAGTTACCAGCGAGAAAGTTAAGATATTTCAGGCTTATTTCTTGAAGATAGGTGTTACATAATAGCTTAACATCTAATGAAAAACAAACAATCAACCAATTTTATTATGAACAGAATGAGACAATTTATTACTTAGTCAATATATTAGAATTCATTAATTAACCTCAGTTAAAGTTGATTCTGAGTATATTCACAGTATAGCAATCTTCCCTTGTTATTAATAGGTGCGTAGTGTACTTATCAGAAGAATGGTTCACTCTACAAGGATTATTTGATACGATCTCGTAGTTATAACAAACAATAAACTTAAGTGATGCCTATATCCCATTTTCTTGGCAATTATTTCGTTAAAATATATCTCTGTTGATAAGAAAACAACTTTTCATTTATCTGCAGTGAAATATTATAATGCGATATTTATTAATAAAACAAAGTGGTAGTGACAGTAATAGCACATAGATTAACAACTAAAATTGTCGGTAATTCCATTGTATTTATATGTATATCCAGCTGTTATCTTGCCTTATTTATACTGATCGATCGTCAAAAGTGAGATAATTGTTATAGTTACACATTACTTACCTACGCCTGTTACCCCTCGTGGAGGAGCATAGGCTACCCAACAGCACTCTCCATCCAAACCTGTACTGAGCAATCCTTCCCAGTTGCTATCCATCCTTTCTATGTCTGCTTCCAATTTCCGACGCAGTGTGTTAGTTGGCCTTACTCTTCTCCGTTTCTCTTCAGGATCCCAAGTTATCGCTTGCCTCGTAATGCAGTTTGGTGATTTCCTCAATGTGTGTCTTGTCGATTTCCAACGTCTTTTCGTAATTTCTTCCTCAGCTGAAAGATGGTTTGTTCTCCTCCACGGTAGTCTGTTGTTGATGGAATCCGGCCAACGGACATTGAGTATCTTAGGTAGACAATTGTTTATAAATACTTGTACATGTTTGATGACAGTTATGGTAGTTCTCCACGTTTCAGCTCTATACAGTAGGACTGTCTTGATGTTCGTATTAAAGATACTGACCTTGATATTGGTTGACGGTTGTTTTCAATCCCATATGTTCTTCAACTGTAGGAATGCAGCCCCTGCTTTACCAATTCTCGCCTTTACGTCTGCATTAGATCCTCCTTGTTCATTGATGATACGTGAGATTTCCCACCTATTCCAGAGTTTCTTCATCAAGTGTGATTGAGTTGATTTTCTCCGTGTTGTATTTCAGGATGTTTGTTTTTCCCTTGTGTATGTTGAGGCCTATTAATGCAGAGGCTTTTCCTACACTCGTTATCTTCATTTGCGTTTGTTCGTGTACATGGGATAGAAGGACCAGGTCATCTATGCAGTCCAGATCGTCTAATTAATTCCGAGCTGTGGACGTTTAGTTTCTCACTAGCTTGTAGATTTTGTCAGTAGGGATTCATCATCCAAAAGGAACGGGAACCACAGGGTTCAGATTTCGTTATGAGTATGATACCTTAAAACCATTTAGTTGGAGTCCTATTGTTACTATTTGCAAGTTGAACACTTACTCTACAAGTTACGGATTATTACGGTACCTTACATTTATACGTTGGGAGTACAACACTGATTTAAAGTGGATTTTGTTCAGTCAGCTGCAACTATATTCGTTGTATTAAATTATTCAGTGAATTATTTTCTATTCAGCACTCGTGCGTGAGGCCAAAGGTCCTCAGTTTGATCCTTAGCTGTGGGGTCATGCATGTACACAGCTGAGGAGTTCTACACTAGAGTGAAACGACCATACAGTGCTTCCAGGTTTATAATGGTTGTATAACTTGTATCGATTCGTAGTGTCAATAAAATTCAGTAATCTCTAGAACCACGTGTTGTAAAGAAGAGGAAGGCCAAAGAACACACTACCGAGAATTGGGAGCAGACATGAAAAGGACTGTTAAAAGAGCTTGGTATTTAGTGTAATAACATGTTAGAAATTAGTAACTAAAGAATGAAAGTTGATATTATTTCCTATGTTGCGATTAACTGAACGTAATAGTACTTTCACAAATAGTAGTTGACAAAAAAAGTTTTATCGAAAGTTCCAGTTGGTAAGTTTTGTAATTCAATGCTTTTGGGTTATGAATAATGCTTCCTATCCAAACTCAACATCCAGTTAAAATCATATTTTTCGAACAAAGCAGCGTACAAATAGTTGAGTTTTTTTTATAGATTTGAATG